GTCTTAAGTAGAGAAGTTCCGTCAGTTTGGTTCTATAGCGCATCAGGACTAAAAAGTTCTTTTTAAAATGACCACTTGAGGTTGAACGCGCACCTTGCGCGGCCCTTTAAACGTCACCAGAGTGAAGATTTCAGTAGCTGAGTCCCATGAGACGTCTGTCCGTGGATGATCTGCAGCTAGGACTTTCCTACACATCAACAATCTGCATTCTCATGGCAGATCTTAATCTTCGACTATACCATGTTCATCTTCGCTAGGCCGAGGTGACATGGATCAGAGCATGGCAATGTGCTCATGATTCCTTGATTGTCTTGTATAGAGGGATCATTTCCTCGATGCCATTTGGTTTAGAGCAAAGCCCTTTTTCACCCTGGAGGATATGTTAACTCCAAAAATGCTGTCTATTGGGCACCTCACTCTATTGTCTCTAAAAGCCACTTCTTAGTGAACATGTACAGTGAATGTGGCTTTAAGAACTCATGGTTTAGCAGGTCCTTATGTTAGGGCGCCACTGAACATTTCGAACGACGCGTTAAAATTGTGTCGAGTCCTAAGGAGGGAATGTGGAGCACTGCTTCTAAGAATTTCAGAATGAAATCATTAGGTTTTTTAAAACTCTGTAAAAGAAATTAAATATTGTTTAAATGTCACAGGGAAGGAGAATTAATGTCAAAGAGAAAATAAAGAAAAAGGTCAACTAATCTTTTCACGACTTCCATTACAAGATTTTTTAACATTGGTGAACTTTGCGTTTTTGTGTGCTTTTTTCTTTTAGCCGTTTCCATTTTCAAAACATGTTTTTTCTTCGTCGATTTTATATCAAACAGATTCCTTTTGAATGAATTATGTCTGTTCCAAATTACAGCATTCTAGAACAATTTTTGGGCGAGATATTCAGAGAAAAAGTTCTTTCATTATCTATTGTTTTGGTGACAACTTCAGAATTATACTCCCTGAAATTGAGATTACATCTTGTTTATTACCAGGTACTTTGTAATTTTGAAGCTGTCATCTTCAATTTACAATGGCAGTACATGTTATAGTACAATGGATAAAGTCGACCTTGCTCAAAGTCAACACTTTTTTTTTCTGTCCGGGGTGTTGACTTTCAGAATTCCACTGTAACTTGTTTTGTTTTTTTAATTAAAGCGCTTTTGTCATAGACATGAGTCTCAATTTTTCCCTTTTCATTAGTAAGAAAGAGTGTGTATGCAATATTTTCCTTGAATGATTTACTCTAATTTTGAGGCAGCGTGGTGAAATCAGGCGCTCGTCAAAATAATGAAAGTTATAAAAAAAAAAGGCTTTTTCCTGCAGGTTTGGGAACTTTTATTGAATTTTATTTCGCGCTAAACACCTTTTACGTCCATACTGAAAAACGTTCATGACATTCACAAAATTTGTGATTTTTCAGTTTTAAAGGCTCTCAAGCTATTGAAGTTATCAAACTTTGGCAGCCGTTTTCTCACTAAATTTACCTCTGAAATCAGGTGACTCCACCTCCTTAAATCACAAATATTTCGACTTCTATTCAGCATAGATGAATATTGTTTTCATCAAAAGGAAGGCAAAATGCACAGGCTTTAAGATGGTGTCAATAACTCTGTATGCCTCAAAATCAAAACTGACGAGCGCTTGATCCCACCTTTTCGTGACACCTATTATTGTTTAGTGCATATATTATTACGTACATGTATGTGTGTATGCATGTATTTCATGAATATTATGCAATGCGCTTAGAGCAATGATTTTTTTACGGATTTGCGCGATATAAATGTCATATTACTTTTATCATTATAAGCGAACAATGTAATATTACCGGGGGGGGGGGGGGGGGGGGTGTATGGCCCAATGTAAGAAAATTGTGTAAGAAGGGGGGGGGGGGATAAAAAAAGTCCCCAAAAAGGTTTAAGATTGTATTTGAATAGCCCCTTACGTAAAACTCCCACCATAATAAAATATATAAAAGAAACCGGAAACAAAAAATAGCCAAACATTATATCAAAACAAGGTCCTCACTGGTGCCATAACTGTCCTTTCTATGTCTATAGCGCCGTAAAACATCTACTATGACATGCCAAAGTCCACACGCTTTAGCTAAACAGAAAAGGACATTCAATAGTGTAACCTGACCTATAAATCGCTCTTGGGGATAACCCAAGCGATGACGACACTCGTAGCGAGTTTGGCTGTACATTAATATTAATAAGACGGCACATCTCAAATGTGCTCCTGCCGAATAGTGCCGAAACATAGCCCACAGCAGGCAGTCTAAAAATAAACACGAAAGACCCCATGCTATTCTTTGCCAATATTATGTAAGCCCCGGAGCAATCCAGCGGAGTGCTCAAGTGAATTGTGATTGGTTCATTGTTTGTCTTGCCACTATTTTAAGTGACTCTGTGACCGTGAACCTGAGGGAGGTGAACGTGACCGTCCTATGAGTTGTGCGTTTGAATGATTTTGTAGTGGAGTAGTGAAAGTTATTACTTGAGTGTTCAGTTCCATTACAGGATGAACGAAATTGAAGTTTAGCTAACAAACAAATTTAGCAATAGAAATCAAAGCGACAAGTAAAAAGAATGAAAATAAAAGCACGAGGCCCTCCCTCACCAACACAAATATCCTAAAATTATACACCGTTTCATTTACTATGCCCTTGACTATCTTCAGCATGCAATAGCTTAATTATTATTGTGCACGTCCACTTTTTAGCCCCACGAGCTGCCCCTGATAAGCACAATTATAAACCCAACCGTTGTGCTAATTTTAGGCCCCTATTGTTTTTCAGAGTGAAACTAAAAGGCCCTAATATTTTTTTCCTGAAGTCTCCCCTGACTCCAGCTATTCATTACATTCCCAATAGCGAATCTGTTTTGATATATGGCGTTCCTCATGAACAAAGAATCACACAGGAATATGTAGCTAGGCTGCTCGTCTTTTCCTCACCACCTCCACCTTTTCCTCTCTTAGAGTGCTCGGTTGTTACAAAGGAAAACTGCCTCATGACAAAATAGGCGCAATGCTGTATCAAATCAAAACATTAAAAAATATTTGACAGATGGAAATAGAAACTGCAGGTCAAAGTGAAAGAAGAAGAACGTTCCAAACCTACATGTACATGTATTAACTGTTTGTAAATTTTGGAGTAATAAGTAATTTTAAAAAAAATGTGTTCTCTGTCTATGAGTTTGTTTTCACTTCACAGGTGCATTTATATTCTCACAACTGTGAAAAGAGTAAGACAAGAGCAACTCTGTTCTGTGGCCTATGTTACTATTTTTCTCTTTTAAGTTTAAGTTTTTGTCCGAGTTAATTTGAAGTTTAGTCGGTCTTGCTTCCCACTATTACGTGTTACTATAGGAGGCGGGGGCTCTCGTGGTCTAGAGCTTACACTACAGTGATACACACACACACGTATATATATATATATATATATATATATATATACTCATCAAAATAGACTACTCTTTCAAATTCAATGAACATGCGCTTTTAGGACCTCTTGACGGTTGAACCGTCCTCTTCTAGACGACGTTATTTTGCTTTGCCCACAAAATCACGTGACGGCACTCTCTCATCCCATTGGCTCAAATGGAGTTGTGACAAAACAAAATGTATCGAAATTAATGCTTATGGAGTTCCGACAGTTGTACTCTCTTCTTTTTTAATCTGCTTTGGTCATGCGACACGTGGGTTCTGGATATCTCAACAAATACAGTACTTAGAGGCTTCATACTTTTATTGGAGACACAATACATAGGAATTTGAGTGCATGAGTGGTCTTATCTCAAATTTCATGAAAAGTGGACATACGACACTTGTACTCTGGGCCGACGAAGTGTCTAATCCTCAAGTCCTCAAAATTTTTTTTAAATTGTTCGTGTTTTTTAGCGCCCTCACTGAAACAATTCAGACTGTTTTGGAGGCGGGCTGCTTTGAACTCGCCTGACAAGTGTTAAGACTAACCGAGGTTAAGAGGGATACAACAATATCACAGCAGAAAGACAGTGACAGAGATGCTCCTGAAAAATTCTTCACACACAGGAATCTCATAAATAAATCTGCAGGCAGTGGGGAAGCTCCTAATCCTAGCCACTACACCACAGACACTGGTCCCAAGACCCTGCTAACCCACAGCAGAATAAGACTAATGCTAACTTAACTAAGAGTCAAAACAGGTAGCTACCTTTTAGAGTTAAAAAGTTATATCTGCACAGTACCTAGTTTTGAGAAATTTGTTTGTTTTTGTTTGTTTAGTATAGGGTTTTACGGCGCTCGCAACTGCATAAGGTCATATGAGCGCGCGGGACACACCTAATACTTTTTCGTTGGTAGGAAATTTTGAATTTTGCCCGGGTGGCGGCCGAAGCCTACTCTTATCGATTTTAGACCACCAAGGGATCTTTAACGTGCGCAACTTGCACACGGGCCCTCCGAGATTTTTCGCCCTTGTCCGAGAAGGCTAGGTGTAGATCTTTCCTACCAGAAGATCAGGGGTGTGGCAGAAAGACAGCAGTTAGGAGGAGCCAAGGAGTAGCAGTAGAAAGGCTGCAGAAAGAGTCAGGAGCCCAGAGGAGGGGGCAAAGGAGGTGAGGGGGTGGGGGGCAGAAAGTGGAAATGAAAGCAGACAACAGAACAATGCTAGAGAGCAGGAAAGGAGGTGAAAGGAGACAATTTTAGAGAAGAAAATTTTTTGGTCGCTACCCGGATTCGAACCCGGGACCTTTGAATGAGAGGCCAACACCTTAACCTCTAGGCCACGAGAGCCCCCCTGAGAAATTTGACTTTAAAAAATGTAAGTTTCACAGGTCAAGCTTTTTCGAATATAATATTTTGAATAAATCTTGATAACCACTCCGAATAATCTTACGATTTTGACAGAGCAGATAGACCATTTGGTTTCTGACCTCATGGTCTTGGCAACTCAAAATGGCCAAAAATGTCAGATAGAAGAACTTTATAAGATTTTAAGGAGGTGAGGTGTTGAGTCTACTTACCAGCACAGGACTGGGTTATTGCCTTGTTGTTCTCTGCAGAGTACTCACTTGAACCCTATGTGAACACAAGCAGAAATTATTATGATAAATTATACTACTAGTATTTATAGGATCATTACCTCAGCCACTCAGAGTGATAGACCAGGAATTTTGTTTTATGTCATTCATTCATGTATATTTATACTGTTAAATAGCCTGCCTAGTACTCAACCCATGGAAATTCTACATAATATTACCGGTAACTGGCACGCAGACATTCTTCCCCACATCAGCTTGTGAAGAGTAAAACCCTGTCTACACTACAAACTTCATGGGAGAAACACATTACTACAAACTTCATGGGAGAAACACATTACTACAAACTTCATGGGAGAAACACATTACTACAAACTTCATGGGAGAAACACATTACTACAAACTTCATGGGATCAGAAAATTTCTTCGTGAATTATGCAGATTTTCTGTAGTAGTGGAAAATGAAGGGAAGTTGAGATGCATTGATTCATACTCTTCTGTTTCTGTCTGTTTTGCTGACTTGCTTTTTCCCCACCTCTTAAGGCCATCTGTGAGTAAAATTTCCCCCATTTTTACCCAGTTTGACCATCCATGCAATTTTTAAATCCATTTTTGAAACTTACATCCATTTCCCCCGAAGTTTCCAGCGGCCATTTCAATCAATTATGTTTAGAAGTCATGCAAAAATGGGTTTTTAAAAATAATTTGCAATTTTGGGTCTTCTGTCAATTTTAAAATATTTTCTTCAGTTTTTTCAAATATCTGCCCCCGTCGTTTTATGCAAGGAAAATTCTGAAATTATGCAAACTGAGCCCAAAAATATGAAATTATGCGATTCTGTTAATTTTTTAACAAAGAATGATAAAGGAAAATAATCAGAAATTATGCAAAAAATGGTCAAATTTTGCTAAATTATGCGGGGTGCATAAAATTACGGGGACAGAAATATTTATTTTTCCGACTTCAAATTACGTCAGCTCCATTATTTTTCATCTGAATGGCTAAATTGTTTAACACAATGTGCGTCCCTTTACTGAAATAGAGCCTTTTTCTAGCATAATAAGAAAATAAAGTTACAATCACTGTTTTTGTAGGGAGTTTTGAGGGTTTTATGCTATTTGTCTGTAATACATATTTCCAAAGTAAATAATTACTTTCATAATCGTAATAATACAAATCTGGCGTTATTTGTTTATTACATAGGTGTTGTAGTTTGTACTTACTAAAAATGAAAGCCAGCGGACAAAAAATAAGAGAGAAGATAGCTTTTGAAATTTGATTAAATTATCCAATATGGCGGACGTTTGCTTGGTTACCATGGTTACTATGTGCTTATAATAATAAATAATTACTTGAATTTATTCTTTGATGTCTGACTAATATAAATACATGTATATCGCAGCTGCTATATTTAGAAAAGGTGGATTTTTAGAAATTTCACCAGCAGATGGCCTTAATCGTATGTAGCAATTGTCATTGTTAGTGTTCTTTTCTCAACCCCAAACCATAACCATTCAACAACATGAGTACATGAAGCCTCTACCCATTACCATTAGAATAAATTATATATAGACCTATAAGCCTATTAGTATTAGACCTTTATATTTCCTTCAATATTCCCCCCAAATGTTTTTTCTTTCTTCGTTTGTAGTTGTAGGCCTTAACTATTTTCATAGTCTAAATCTATTTTTTAGATGAGCACCAAGGCACATCAATAAACTGTGCTGGGAAAACACAAGATCAATTGACAGAGACAAAAGAGGAGGAAAAATGGTATAACCTGGTGACGCCCCCCTCCCCCCAAAAAACCCAAAAAACAAAGCAAAGTAGACTTCCTATTATATTTAACATAATATATTAACCTTTGGAAAAGTACAACATGTTACAAAAAAACCCCTAAAATTATTTAGACTTAAAATATTATAAAAATCCTTTCAATATGTTATCAAGAAACTGTTAATGTTTAATGTGTGTTTTCTTGCTTAATGGATCTAAATTTCTGACCAGCTACGGCTTTTTGACCTTTTCACCCCATTGCTCAAAAATAGCTTCGGCAAATGGGACCTTACTCCAGGCACACACACACATATATACCATGTGTGAAATTTGCGAGTCAAAAATGTGCTAGAAATTGGGTCTTCCTCCAAACTTTGTTTATAAACCGTATATATTACAATATGTAGCCTCTTTAAAAACTACTCAAGATACATGAAATTGAATTTTTTTTAAAATCAACATTGAATTAGCTACATTCACATGCCCTCATTTTACTATCCAAAATGTCCGGCAAGCGGGACCTTTCTCCAGGCACACACACATATGAACTCATACTAGGTAAAAGTGTTAATAATAATAATAAATACATGTAGCATTTGTATAGCGCATATCCCCGCTCAACAGAAAGCCCTATGCGCTTTCCTTACACCATTACCCCATCAGACCACAGAACACATAAACATTCTCAGCTTCCCAGGACGCGTACAGTGAAACAGTTGCTTAATTAAGCACTCAAACGCTAACAAACCGACAAGCTCTTTCACTGTCTATAGCTGGGTACCCATTCCCACCTGGGTGAAGTGAGGAAAATTCATGTAAAGTGCATTTCCCAAGGGGACACAACGTCGGGCCCCTGACGGGATTCGAACCAACGACCTTACAGTTGTGAGTGTGAGGGCCTAGGCACTAAGCCACGACGCCACAGGTGTGAGTAAGTGGAGTTTGACAAACACAGTTAAACCAAACGAAAGAAAATTGAAATAGAAACCCCGACTTTTTCCTTCTTTGACTTTGCGCAATCTCTCTACTAAACTAAAAGCATGGCTATACCCTGGAAAATCCGGCAGTCTCACAGATTTTACTTGAAGCAGACTCTACCCCTCTCTGTAGGCTTTATACTATACTGTATACCAACCTTTGATTGCAAAAGATCCAGAAATCGGATGAAGGAGCTAGCATCATCTTGTGGACCAACTTCATGAACAACTTCAGAGAGCTCATGGAGGGGACCCCTGGTGAGTTCTTGACTAGTACCTTGTTCTGTCTGAGGGCCAAATTAAAGTGTGTGTGTGTGTGG